ACAGAGGGAGGAGGTGGGGCTGGCCAGACAGAGGGAGGAGGTGGGGCACTCACCTGGGGGTGGTGGCAGAGCGCTCATATTTGGCTTGATGTCAGGCGGGAAGGGTGGTTTAACGTCTTGGCTGGGGGACAGGTACGGGGGGATGCTGCTCCCGGGGGTCATGGGGGGTGTGGGGTTCCCTGGAACAGGTGAGTGGGGGTAATTTGCCACAGGAACCGGCCTAGGAGGCTGGGGGGAAAGAGAAACCACACATAGGTTATGGGGTCACAGGGATAGGAGGGACTATGTCTGTGGACATACACCCCACCCACCCCACAGTCCTGGGACTATGGTTCCTGGTCCCTCAAGGGAAGAGAGCCCTCCCCCATCCCTCGGGACATACGTCTAACCTGGTCAGCACTAAGGCCTCTGTCCCAACGTTTATTTATTTTTGGGACAGAGAGAGACAGAGCATGAACGGGGGAGGGGCAGAGAGAGAGGGAGACACAGAATCGGAAACAGGCTCCAGGCTCTGAGCCATCAGCCCAGAGACCGACGCGGGGCTCGAACTCACGGACCGCGAGATCCTGACCTGGCTGAAGTCGGACGCTCAACCGACTGCGCCACCCAGGCACCCCATAAGGCCTCTGTCTCAATTGGAAGACAGGTGGGCCTAGGAAGGGCCTTCCCACCCTTCACTTGTGTCACGGCACTGCAGTGCTAGGCAGGTGCAGGGTCCCCTGCCCACTTGACAAACAGGGACATAGACTCAGGGTAGGGGGGACTAGTCTAATGCAATCTCAGGAGGAGAGAAGAGCTGGGGTGACCCTCCAACCCCCCCAGCTCAGGGGGTCCCCAGATGGAGTTGGGCCTGTAGCATCCTGGGCAATTGGCACCCCAGGAGCCCCTCACCCTTCTGGCCCCAGTCCTTATGCATCCCTGGCCCACCTGCCTGGACCTGTGGATTCCATCTGGGCATTACTGTGTCCCAGAGCTGACGACCCGGGAATGCACCCTGATCCATGGGCCCGGGGACGGCATGGCCCCTTAGACACACAGGTGCACGGGGCTTAGAGCTAGGATGAAAACTGGAACATACCCTATTGACGTTCCCCTGGCTGTAGTTACTGTAGCTGCTTCCCGAGAAGGTGTTGTTTTGTCCATTAAATTGCTCTGGCTGTTAAAACAAGATAAACAACGTGATGAACGTGGAAGGCAGAAAAGCTACCAGAAGCCTGCTTTCTTTCCTGATGTGAAAATTGGCCAGCGGTACCATACAGGGAATGCTGGTGAGGCCCATCCAGTGCTGGGGTGCAGAGCGGGACAGGGGTGGAGCAGGTCACCCGTGGGGACAGCATTTCCTCTCTCTTTCCATAGCTAGTGATACAGCATGAGTTTACAAAAAAAACCCAGAAACACCTAGTGTGTTAAAGCTGGAGCAGCGAAGGTGGTCATGTAAGTCAGCATGAATTCTCGCCAAATATACGTAAAAGTGTTTCTAGAGCAGGCTTCACTCCTGAGATGTACTTTACAATAATCCCAAAGAAGGAAAAAGCGAGGGACATTTGGGTGGCTCAGTCGGTTAAGCGTCCGGCTCTTGATTTTGGCTCATGTCATGACCTCACAGTTCCTGAGTTCAAGCCCCCGTTTGGGCTCTAAGCTGATAGCGCGGAGCCTGCTTGGGATTCTCTGGCTCCTTCTCTCTGTGCCCTGCTTCTGTTCCCTCCCTCTTTCTCAAAATAAATAAACATTAAAAAAAAAAAAAAAAAAAGAGGGAGGAAAAAGCTATGTACCTGAAAATACCTGTGATACTGTTACTTCCAAAGTGAAAAATCAGAAACCCAAATATCCAATAAAAAGTGAATAAAATAGGGTGTCCTTATGTATCCGCAGAATGTTAAACATCCTTAAAAGAATAAAAACCATGGAGACTTTGTAGCAGTAAGTGACACGCTTGTGATTTCACGTCAAGTGAAAGAAACAGATTCAAAATTATAGCCTTAGTAAGTCTCAGAACAGGCTGATGCCCATGTGCGTGTAGCGAAACAAGGTTTAGAACTAATATTAATATATCTAGGTGGACGCTTTTTCCTTTAAAAAAAATGCATTTTTTTAAATTATTATCCCATGTGCTGTAAATAGTGAAAGGAGAGGACAAAACCCTTGTCTGAGCCCGTGAGAACAGGAACGGACATTTTGGTCGCTGCACACATGGCTCTGAGGACAAGATGACACATCCTGGAAGTCTCTGCCTGCCCCCTGGTGCCTCAGGGGAACACAGAGCCGAGAGGACACGGGTGGGGGTGGGGATGGGAGGTGGGGAGGGAGGAAGGGGCCTGTGGGGTGGTAGAACTCACCTTGTAATACTGCCCCATGTTGACCGTGGGGGGTGGGTACTGCCCCGTGCTCGGCTGGCTGGGCATCCTTTGCCCGGGGTAGTTGGGAGAGGTGAGCGGCCGTGGGGGGTTGGGGGTAGGGTACTGGCCTGGCTGGGTGGGGAACTGGCTGTTTGGTCCATATTGCTGGTTTCCATAGTTGGGCTGTGGCGGCAAAGGAGAGGAGAAGGTGTGTCAGTGTCGTGGGGCCAAGCTACTCACCAGACGGCCACCTCACCTCTGTCCTTGCTGTTTGCCACTGGCAAACTGCCCCCTCCCCCACCCGGAGAGAGGAGGCTGAACCAGATGATGTCTGAGGCCCTTGCTGCTCTGAGACACTAGGTTCTGGCTGTGCGGCTGGAGGCCCCCTCACCGTGAAGATGTCTTCTCCAAGTACCCTGCTCCCCGAACCGAGGGCACTTTCAGAGCCTCTCATTCCTGCCATCGTGAGGGGGCCCTATTCCAAAGCCCCCTTTGTGCCTCTCCCAGTACTTGGTACGTGACGGGGGAAGGCAGACAACAGGATGTGCTTCCAGAGAGGGGACTCCCTCGACCCTGCAATCTGAGGCTGAATCTGGGAGGCACCGTCCCCAGAGCCCGCACTGAAGAGAACGCACAGCCACTCCGTTCTGGGCCATGTTGCAGGGGTGGGGAGAAGCCGCCTTGTGGAGGTTCCAGACAACCCTTCTCAAGACAGGCAACTGAGAGAGAAGACAGCTCCAGGGAGGGGCAGGACCACCGTCCTCGGAGATCTACAACGTGACACATGACACGCTGATGTCCACCTCGTAGCTGCCTTCCCCCTCTGTAAGATTAAGTGACCCTCAGGAGCCACCTGCCGCCCAGACACTCCAGGCCATCATGTCCTGTGGAGTCGCTGGTTCCCTCTCCCTTGTCTTTTGAAGCTCCTGGTTTAGTAACTGTCTCTCTTGCCTCCAGGCTCAGAGGTCCCAGCTGTGTCCCGGAATCTGGTAGACAGTGGACCCTCCATAAATCCTCGCTCAACAAGTGAAAGCAGGATCTGAAGGTAAGCGGTGGAGGAGGGAGGTGTCCACGCCAGTGTCAGAGAATCTGCCACTCACACTGCTGGGACATGGTGGCCGCTCTGCATGACAGTGGGGTTCCCGTCACGTCACCGGAGGAGGAACGCAGGTGGGGGCTGGGGCCTTCCCACCAGACTGCAGGGGAGGAGTCCTGTGTGGCACGGGGCAGTCTGGCACCTGCCCCCGGCCCAACGTGCCAACAGCTCAAAGGTTCTAGAAGCATGCCGCTGCGAGGGAAGGCCTGCCTTCCCAGGCAGCGTCAGGCCACGTGACTACCCGGCGTCACAGCCCGGAGCCAGGCGTTTTGTAGCCGGGGAGCATCAGCATTCTATGCAGAGGATGATTTAGTAAACATAAATGAAGGCCTCTGGCGGGCCCTGGGCAGCGCAGCACAGGGCAGGCACAGACGGATGTCAGAGCAACGACTGGGAATTCCTTTCCCGATCTCCCTTCCTGCCATCACCTCCTTGGGCGCCTGCAGCCCTGAGTCTGGGTCTGCACATGCATCTCTAGCCCGGCCAGCAGGGACGCTGGGAGTGTGAGCACAGAAGGGGCGAGAGAGGGCCCAGAGCTCATGTCGGGGGCTGTATGTGGGAGACGGAGGCCAGCGGCTTGAGACCCCAGCACAAGGACAGCCAGGGCCTTGACAGCCACGGTCCTTCTCTGGCTGGTACCTCCCTGCACCCGTGCCCACCCAGGAGTGTCTGGGTGTTTGAGGAGGTCCCTGACCTCTCCCTTAACTGGATTCAGGACGCCTCCAACAATGGCCAAGCCCGAGCCAGGGTGAATACTGAGGGAATCACAGAGACCTTCGAGGAACTTAAGGTTAGACTCTAAACCCACTTGCAAGCCCGAGCTGAAGGCCACAGTTCTGAGACAAGCAGGGGGAAGCAGGTCTGAGAACAGGCAGCAAGCAGACAGCTGCCAGGAAATTGCTCAGCAGGGAGCCTCGCCTAGGTAAGGAATCGAGGCAGGCTCCCTGAGGAGCGTGGGCGCTGGGCTAGGATTCTAGGGGCCCTGTGTCTTTTGCTCCTGAGCTAAATCCTTACCCAGATAGGCCACTTGCTGCCAACTTGTTTTCCCGTTGCTCACGGAAGGCCCTATGACACCCCCTCCAGGAAGTCCTCCTTCTCTGACCTCAAGCTGAATTCCATACACCCCACCGTGCATCACTGCCTTATGGGTTCTTGCTTAGACCTTCTCTTTCCTGCTGAGGTCTCGGTTCCCAGAGGACAGGTGTGGGTTTTACTTCCCTAAATCTTCACCGCCCCCTTGGCCGAGCTGGCTGGGCAGCCAATTAGGCAATGTTCCTCCCGAAAGAGCAGCTGACAGTTGATGGAGAAGAGCCCTAAGAAGCACACTGTCCGCCTTCCAATCACTTCTCCGACGTGCACAGGCATTAGATATGTACAGGGTTTTGTCTCCTCTCTCGCTCTTGGAAGTGAGAAGCCCTCATGCGGATGTGAGGAATGTGGACTCTAGGAGGTTTCGCTCCTTACTCAAGTCACCCAGTAGCCAGTCGGCAGCTGCAGCTGTCCGTGCCTGCCCGGGGCCAAGAGCCCTGGGTACAGCCCCTCATTCAAATCTTCCAAGCAGCCCCAGGAGGTGGGCTGGACCGTCACCATCTTTTATAGGTGAAAAACCAAGACTCAAGAAGGGACACGGCTTGATCAAGGACTTCCAGCTGGGAAGTGGCAGAGCTGGTCTTAAACCCTGGAGCCCGAATCCTCAGTCCTTAGGCTTGGCCTTTTGGTCCAGATTTTGTCCAGGTCAGTTCGTACCCTTTCCAAAGTACTGCCCACAGTCCCTGTGTTTTCAAGCCCCAGGTTTCCCCCCTCCCCCTCCCCACCCCCAGCTCCCACCATGAACGCCACCTGCCTGCTGTCACACTCACCTCTCCCGGGTATGGCCTCTTTATGCTTTGAATAGGCAGGGACTGGGGCCGGGGCCCCGGGTAGGTCTGCTGGGGCATCCGCTGCCCATGGGTGCCAAAGGGGCTGATGCCGGGCGGCCGGGGCTGGTTCATCCCCATGGGAGGGCCGCTCATCCCCGAGGGTGTCATGCCAGCCGCCATGCTTGCGGGGTTCATGCTGCCCCCCATGGAGGCAGGCCCCCGCGGCCCGGGCTGGTTCATGAATTGGCTGTTATACGCCTGGGTGGGACCCATCTGGAAAGAGGAACAGACCTTCAACGGGAGAAGAAGAAAAAAAAAAAGAATAAAATGCCACATGCATTGAAAGTGCAGGGAGGGAAGGGTGGGGGAGGTGGGAGGCTCTGGGTTGGGGGGCACTTTCCTGTGTGGCTGCAGCTGGAATCTCTGGCCTCCTGGGCTCACCGCTGCCCTCTGCAGGCCACACGGGAAAGATGCAGCCCAAGGGTGTTATGGGGTGGGGGCGCAGTCACTCCAGAGAGCAGGCAGCATTTCCAGGGAGGCAGGCAGGGAACGGGAAGAAGGTGCAGAGGTGGGGAGGGGCGGTGGAAGGATGGGGGGGGGGGATGAGGATGGAGGCAGGAGCCCCTTTCCTGGAAGCCCTGGCCCCGCCCTTGGCCAATGGAGACACACCCTCCATCGGCAATCTGAGGCAGTCCCAGCTGTGCCCATCCTACGGTCCCCACCTCCTGTCCCCTGTCCTGCACTCCTGCGGGGAACCCCCTCGCCTCACATGCCACCCGTCCTGAAGGTCAGGGGAGCAGAACTGGGACCAGGGCTCAACCCCCAGATGGGATGACAAGGAGTATATGGTCTTCAGAGGCCACCACGGGGATAGACTGGTGACAAGACATTTTAGACATGGAGTCCACTCTTTGGCGAGCAGCAGCCCAGAGGGCACTGAGGTACCTCCTTCCCCATTCTCAGACACGCACGAGCCACAAACCCACGCGGAACAAACACAAACCCCCCTCCCCCGCCACACCCACGTCCTGACACACACCTTTCCACGTGCCTCCAAGAAAGCCCAAACACACCCCGACCCCATCAGCTTTCCCAGCACCCAGGGCACTGACACCCCAGGCCTGACTCCCGGGGCTGCCTGCCTTGCTGAGCGGGCCGAGGCTTGACTGGGACTGGTGGGGCCCTTACCGGTCCGTACTGGTTTATATCCTTGTTCTGCGTCTCCTGCAAGGCTGCCACAGTGGCCGTGGCCGTGGCCGTGGCCGTGGCTGCCGCCGCCGCCACTGCAGCTGCCGCGGCAGCAGCCGCCGGCTGAGTGAAGTCAGCAGGCGGCCTGGTGTGCGGAGGGATGCCCATGCCTGCGGGGGCGTTAGGACCCCCGGGGTAGCTACAAGCGAGAAGAAGGGAAGACTTAGATACCGCCTGAATCTACACATGAACCGCGGTAAGGCCTGGGCTGGGAGGGAGAAGAGGGGTCATTCCCAGCCCTCCCGCCCCCAGCTCAGAGACAGGGGAGGTGTTTAGACTCAGAACCCAAAGGGGCGCGGGGCCTCCTGTGGGCTGGCAGCCCTTCGTGTCACTTGGTGACCGGCAAGCCGCCCGTGTCGGGTGCCGGGCGGCACGGACTCTCGCGGCCGCTAGAGGGCCGCGGAGAGGGGTGAAGCCCGAGAGGTGGTCTTGGACAGTACGGGATGGCCGAGGAGAAATGGGCTGCCTCTGCCTGCCCTCCACATCCCTGCAGCATCTTCCTGGGGTTCTGTGCACCTTCCTCCCTTCCTCTTGACCCTGGTGATTCTTGACCTTATGCATCTCTGCCTCCACAACCGGCAGGGCGGTGACCTGCCTGACCTGCGTGAAGCAGCTCTCCCCCAGCTGCTGGGGCCGCCCTCTCCGTGGGTCCCAGCATATACAGACACCAGGCACAAGGGTCACTCTGAGGCCCAAGCACACGGTCCCATCACCACGGGTCTGACGGCAGGTGCTGTAGTGTCTGACCCACAGATCGGCCTCAAAATGGGGAATGATGTGCCAGGAAGCACGGTGCTGGCATTTAAACTGGAATCTTCCTCCTGGGTGGAAGGCTGCTCACCTGGCCCCGAAGCCCCCGCTGCCGGGGTAGTTGGGCCGGCCGTACATGCTCTGCTGGATGTAGGGCTGAGCGGGCCCGGCCTTGGCCGAGAACTGTTGCTGCTGCCCAGCAAACTGGGGGGAGTTGAGGCCGGGGTTGCTGGTGGTCATGCCCGATGCCATAGGGTTGCCGCCTGGATTCATGGGGTTGTTGGCATTGGCCATAGGGTTCCCGAGGACCTGTGGGCAGAGAGTGGTTGTCACTCAAGCGGTGTACCCCAGGCGGCATTGGGAGGAAGAAGGAGACATGGGGGGGGGGGTTTGCGATGGTGAAAGAGGGAGAACAGAGAGAAAGGAGGAGAAAAGTGGAGGCATGAATTGTTCCCAGAGCATATGAATGCTTCGAAGGGGTAATGCAGCCCGGAAGCAGGCAGCACAGAAGAGGAGAGCCTCAGCCTGTGATCGAGTGAGGCAGGGCTGGTCCTGCCCCTGGTGCCAGGTGGAAGGCACTGGACTTCTCAGCCCTCCCCCTGCCAAGGGCCCTGGATGCCCGGAGGGTCGGGCCACACAGAGGCCTTGGGATGCTGCTCCGTGAGGGCGAAGAGAGCCCATCTGCCAGCTCCGGAGGGTGGCGGGATGCTGGCCGAGGGACCCCTGTGCCCCGAGACTGCAGGGAGGCCCAGTGGTGCCCTCCCAGGCGGCAAACAGCCCGGAGCCTTCCGCATGGCCATGGCAGAGGCTGGGCCGGCGGGAGAGGAAGGAGTGGAGGAAAGAGGAAGGGGCGGGAGCAGGAGGCAGGTTTGGCCAGGCGTGTGGGGAGGGGTTTGTCACAAGCTGAAAGCTCACCATTTTGCTAAAATCTAACCCAGGTTACCCAGTGTCAAAGACCCCAGACACTGGGGCCCTGAGGCCAGTAACAGCCAGGAAGTTCTCCCATTTATCCAACCAAAGTAAACGTGGGCTGGGGAAGAACTGGCTCTCCGTCAGAGGAGACTCATTCCCCAGGAAGGGCCCCAGACCGGGGACGGTGTGTAGGGGCCAGCTGCCACCTTCCTGAGGCAGGTGTGGAGGGTAGAGGCGTGCCCACAGCTGAGTGTGCCCTGAGAGCCGGTCTTTCCAGCCAGGCAGAGCCCGGGAGAGCCAGGAGGGCTGGCACGGGACGGGGACCCAAAGGCCCCGGGGCTCAGGCGATGGTCCTGCCTGGGAGGGGCCGGGGCTGGGGGCAGGAAAGGCTCTTACCTGGCTCTGGGATGTGTTGGTCACTCCCCAAACCGTGGTGACCACGGAGAGGGAGCCGGGAGGCTGGTTGGTGTTCTGCTGCCAAGGGACAGAGTCATAGGGGAACGACCCATCACTGCACAGGGAGACAGAGGGGGGTTCTCTCAGGGGCCGCGTACACAGGAGGGCCCCGCCACTCCACCACGCTCCGCAGCTCCCAGCCCAGCCCAGCCCAGGTGACCCCCGTCTCAGCCAGCTCTAGACCCCCCAGCCCTGACAGGCTGTCCGACGCCGAACAGGTGACATCGCACGGTGACGGACCATGCCAAGCGACCACCTCTCCCCGCATCGCTGCGGACACCCCCATGGCTGTCTGTCTCACCTTAGGCCACCGAAGTCCACAGGCCGCGCTGCGAGGAAGAAGAGAGAGCCGCAGGCCCAACCTGAGCTCCTCCTCCAACCACGCTCTGACATGAAGTGGTCCCTCCAGAAAGCTCTGGTTCCCCCACACCCGCTTCCCCTTGGAACTTCCCGGTCCCTTCTCAGAAAAGGCCGGAAGGGCCCCAGTCTTGAATTTCACCTCTTCCCCCTTCCTCCCGACCCTTCAGAGCAGGTTGGCCACACAGCCCTGCGGATCTGGACTTTGGCAGGAGTTTCCTTACGTCAGTCTCCTTCCCGACTCTGCATCACAGGTACAGGCCTGCCTGCCATGCTTCCTCCCCTGCTCCCAACCCCAGTCTCTCCTGCACATCCCTGCCAAGCTAATCTCCCTCCAACCCCCAAGACGCTCTGCGTGATCAAAGACCTTCCTTGGCTCTCAGTGTTTACAAGGCAAAGTCCAAACTCACACACTTCGGAGCGATTTACCCTGTCAGCTCATCAGCATATCCTGCCTCCCAGCTTGACTCCCAGCTCTCCTGGAGCAGCCGTACCCACGTCTCCCCAGTCTCGTCGCTAGGCCCAGAAGTACCCACTGTGTTTGGTGACATCTCCTGGGAAGCCCCTAAACACCAGAAGCAAGGACTTAACCTTAGGCCCAACACCCTGCCCTATACACAGTAAGTGCTCAATAATGGCTTCCTGTTAGTTGCTGCAAAGAGTGACTCCAGGGAGAGGGAGAGGGCTGTTGGAGTTACAGCATCGAGAACATGCCCGAGGCCCAGCCTTTATGAGTGCTGAGCCGGAGCTGTCTCTCCTCTGGAGCCTGTTCCGCTTGGACTCTGGCACCTCTCACCAGGAGAACATCCCAGACACGGCCCCAGAAGGAGCAGAGAAACAGAGCACCCATATCTGCTTTAGTGGCCCCGCACAGCACCCCGACGGGCAGCAGTGAGGCCTGCCGGGTAGTGCTGCTGGGTACCAGGATGGGGGAAGGAGGCCTGGAGGAGGGTGGCGTGGTGGAAAGCGCCTCGTGCCTCTGCTGGGCTCGTGCCTTCGTCACAGGAAGTCGGCAGGAGGCAAAAGCTCTCCCTCACTCCTGGAGAGCTTCTACCCCAGCTTAACAGGCCCTGGGGGTGCTGGGAGCCAGCCCAGAGGTCAGGACTTATAGGAAGGAGCCGCAGTCCTGCATGACAAGCAGCCAGAGAGGAGCCGGGGGTCTGAGTCTCACGCCTGTTTCTTGCCAGGCAGAGCCCTCGGCAGTCAACACAGTCAAGGCACGCGGGGCCCTGCGGGGGCGGTCGGACTGGAGGGCAGGACCACGGCACTGTCTGCCCAGGCTTGCTCTTCACCGGCCTCACACCCTCTTGCCCGGCCAGCCCCTGGCTTCCTTCCTATCTCTGCTCAGAAATCACCTCACTGGAGTGGCCTGCCCCAACCTCCTGGTCTCAGAGAAATCCTACCGCTCCCTTTTCCTCCTCTCCTGGCTTTTTTTTTGGGGGGGCGGGGTACCCTGGATACAAGTCCTGTCCCTCCCTGGCTCGGGGGACAAGCTCCTCCCGCCTGTCTGCACTCAGTCCCCTCCTTTGTAAAACGGGCCTAAGAATGGTACTCCCCCACTCTCCTCTCAAGAGTTTTTAAGCTGTAGGTCATGAAACCCGAGCGGGTCAAGACATCAAACCAGCATGAGGGGAAAAAAGAGGGAATAAAACAGAAAGTAGTTAAGCATGAACACGTGGTCAGAATACATATTATTCCCTGAACTTAACGTCTTGATTTTATATACACGTATGAGTGCGTCCTGGGTCACAGCCGGTAATATGTGCTTTTACTCTGGGTCTCAGTCAAGGAAGATTGAGCAACACAGGCCTCGGTCGTGTCAGTCTGATGTGGCTCAGAGAGACGAACGCAGACAAAAAGGCTTTCTCAACTAGAAAGGGACACAGGCTGGAGCATTACTCGTGATTTCCAGGGGCAAACAGCAGGCCAAGAACCTGAAGGGGAGGAAATGTCCTCGGGAACCAGCCCTCCTGCCTGCTCCCTGCTCCTGCTGGGAGCATCGTGTCTGCATCATGTTTGATGATGGGGGGTGAGGCCGGGATGCACAGGCCAAAGGTGACAGACACCTCAAACTCTGCATCTGGGATGGCCGATGGGGACCTGGGTGCCCAGAGAGCTCGGGGGGGGGGGGGGGGCGCAGCAGCACAGGCAAGTAAGCAACGAGCCTGCTCGTCAGCACAGTTGGGCTAGACCCACCTCTCTGGCACAAGTCACAGAGGGCTGGGGTACCATCTGGTCGCGGGCCTGGCACACCACAGTCTCGAAGGGAGGCCCTGCAGGCGACAGTTTTAAACAACGGAGAGGAGACCCCTAGACACCAGCTGTCCTGTGAGGCTCATTCTAGGTGTGCAGGATTGAACACGGGACTCCCATCAGCTTAACAGAACACAAGGGTGAGCCTGTCTTCTCTCCCCAGTCCGCCTGCCCCACAAGCTGCCATCAACCCTCCAGGCTGATGGCCCATTCTGCCCGAAGTTCGTGTCCTTTGAGCACGCACTCGGCAGGCTCGGGAAGCAAAGCCCTCCGGGAGCCCCTGTAGCCCGGCAGGGCCCCGCCTGAAGCCTGGGCGGGGAGCCGGCAGCTGCTGTCTCACCGCCTCGGGTGGGGAGGCCCCGGCTCACCAGGATACTGCACAGGCCCACAAACAGGCTCCCAACTGCCCTGCAGCTCCGTGGGTGGGCCTTGTGGGCGGAAACCAGCTCCTTCCTGTTTCGTCCCCTCCACCCCAAAGCCGGTGAGAAGCGACTGGAACCATCGTTCCCAAACTGGGCATCCCACCGCCCGGCTGCAAGGTTCACCCCAGAACCCAGGCACATACCAGGAGTGCACGCGTGCGGAGGGGGACACGTATGTGTGCGTGCACATGAGCCCCGCTGACATGCTGCTGTGCACACGCGGGGGAAGAGACAGGCACACGCGTGGAGGGGCGGTCTCGGGGACTTGCTCGCCCCCACTCGCACCTGCTGCAGAAGCAGAAGTGGCAGCCGCACCAACACGGCTGTGACTCATCTCCTGGGGAGACGGCTCCTGCTGTCGCAGTGAAGGCTCTCGCCCCCACAGGCCCATGGCAGTCAGCCCTGCCGACGCCTCTGCCCGGACTCAGACACCACCGCCAGGGGGGCTGCCCAGCTCCGGCTCCCTGAGCCCAAGGAGCAAGGACAAGCCAGGTTCCTGGGCCCTTCCAGTGTGGGAGGGGGCCCAGGGTGATGAAGAAGAGGCCTAGAAGGCCTGTGTAGGGCTGTGTAGTTCTGAGACTCTTCCTTCCTCCGGCAAATACTATTTAACCTGCAGATAAGTTCAGCCCAGGTCGGGAACCACTCTCTCCTCTTACCCATACCTGGTTGCAATTCAAAGGGAGGCCAGGGCCCCTGGAGCTAAGAGAATCCCACTGTTAGGAATCCTGCCTCCTTCTGTGCGCCCTCAATCCAGCACGGCCTGGTTTCATGCCACAGCTCCCCCCAGCTGCAGTCTAGCCCAGCCAAAACTGCCCTAAGAATCCAATCCACCCAGAGAGACAGCAGTCCCAGAAGCCACTTGGAATCCCAGCAGGGCTCTGCCTGCCAAAAGCTCCCTAATACGGGGACAGGCGCTTTCCCATCTCTGTGCCTCTTTCCGGTCTGGGATGCTGTATCCTCACCCTGAAAAAAATGCCACTCGTCCTTCCCAGGCTCCTCTTCCAAAGGCCACCTCCTCCAGGAAGCCCTTGCCGCATCCGCTGGCCTGAGCTCTACTTGTTCCTCGCATTCCGAGGGCCCGAGTGGGGGGCCCAAATGAGAGCCCTCCTGCCTTTTTCCTTCTGCCCCAGGAGTCCTGAGTTAGGCTACCTGTGCCTGGCATGATGTCTTCAAACCTACAGGGCTCAGAAAGCCTTTGCTAACCAGAGAGAAAGCCCACCTCTCCACACTCTCCTCAGAGGGATGCCTGAGAAGGGAAAATGACGTCCATTCCTTAATTTCGATTGCTGACCACTCACAGTGCGTTTGTGACCCCACGGGCACCGGCACCCAGGAAGTGAGAGGTCCTGCCCTCTGGGGAGAGGGACAGAGAAGGGCTAATGAAGCAGCTCCTTACTCTCTTTATGCCTCAGTGTCCTCGTCCGTAAAATGGGGATACTAGCACTTCTCTCCGAAGGCTGTCACGAGGATTACACGAGCTCACACGTCTAAGGCACAATGGCCACATCTGGCATAACGCAGGCACCTAAAACTGCTGGCTGTTGCTGTCGTTGTTACGATTTATCGCGTGGCTTCTAGAAGCAAGGGACTGTGTGAAGGGGCTTTCACCCGAGAACACATTCCCTTTAACGTGGGCTCGGCAGATGCATCTCTTAGGAGCTGAGGCTCAAAGGGTCCCAGAGTTTGTCAAGGGCAAGACTGCCAGATGGGTCTGACCACGCCCCACTGTCTCGGGGAGCTAAGGATCGGGGAAGATGGCGCCTCCCTGCTGGAAGATGGTGATAACGTGAGGGCAGCACACGCTATGAGGGACATCTCGCAGTCCCTGAGAATTCCAAGGGGCACAGCTTCCTGAGGGTTCTCAGGGAAGCTGCCCAGCATGAAGGGACAGAGGGCCTGTAAAGTTTGGTCTGAGAGACAGGCTGCAGAGAAAACCCAAACAGTGACCCAGGAAAAAACACTCTATCCATCAAATCATTAGCTTTGGCCCGCACCAAGTATCCTGGCAGATATTCAGGGACTC